GGCGGGAGGCGCGGCCCGGCTCGGGCGGCCCCGTGCGCCCGGCTCGCGTGGGACGAGGGCGTTCGCGGCGCTTAAAGGGGCCCGAGGGGCGCGGCCGGCAGCCTGGGGGGACGGCTCCGCGAGCCGCGCGGGCTTCCCGGGGAGGCTTCGCTCTTTCGTAACAGCGAGAAAGCAGCCGGGCCGATCTTTGTTCTTTTGAGACAAAGCCCCTGAACTTGGGTCCTGGCTTTGTTCAGGTAACAGGGCTGCTTTAGAGGAGGCGTGTGCCGAGTGAGGGCTTCACAGTGAGGCTGCTGTTTCAAAGGCTGTGATTTCAATCGCACTGCACCCAAGGTATTGGCACGTTTCTTCCATCCCAGGTTCGATTTCCCCGGGCTTTTTAAAATAATTTAATTATTCAAATTATTTGTTCTGTTTGGCGTCTTGGGCCATCATGCCATGGTTATATAAACAGTCGCATGTGAAATGTTAAAAAAAAACACCTATGGAACTCATTTCCTCTATTTAGAAACTTAAGAGAAGCTATTTTACAACAAGGGATTGCTTTCCTAACACGTGCTTAACAATTCAGGCACATAATGTGTTATCAACTGCAGATACTACTTGGCGTAGGGAAGGGAGGAGTTATAGTGTTTGCGTTCACTTTCAGTCCCGCCCCAGTCCGCTGAGAATTTAATCCTGTGTGAGAACCAGACCGCCTATGGTAAAGAAAGACGTTACCAGACTCAAAGCAGCTTCCTAACCTATGTTTTATAGCGTTGGGCTCCACAGTTTTTCTGATACTGGGTAATACAGCTAAACTTAGTAAGATCCCAGTCCTGCCTGTCCTGGGTTATCCTTTAAGAACAGCGAACGGTGACTCACCTGATCTCTATCAGACTTCAAAGGAGGACTCCTGGCAATTCAGAAGAGCAGATGTGTATGTTTGTGTATATAAGAAATCAAAAATCTATTCTGACCCCATTTTAATTACTTTTTTTTTTTTTATTGTGTAGGTTTCTGGCCTTGGATGGAAACTAGCTGTCAATAATTTCGCTGAAATTTCGCAAAGGGAAAGGTGGTAAAAACTAAAACTCAGCCTTTTCTTTTTTTTCAGATTTTTACTGTTAAAATGGTGGATTAGATGTTCGTGCTGGTGAGCGATCATTTTTTTGCACAAGTGATTTACACAGAAGCCTGATTTGCCAATTTGCTATTTCTCATAGAGCTTTCAGTGTTAATCAGTATCCTATTTAGTAGCTATTGGCTTCTTCTATTTTGACTTTAGTGAAACACTCAGCTTTTCTTACCACATCCTTGGTCAGAAAATGTTCTTTATTCTCCAGACTAAAACCTGCTTACTCTCAATGAGACTAGCAGACTGCATACTGAAGAGTGATTAGACAGGGTGTTCCTAGGACTGTTTCAGTTCCAGACTGGTCCAGGCACACAGGATAATCCAAAAGAAGCAATTAAAACCTCATAGCCTGCCCCAGCCATCATCTTCAATTTGGCCTTCACTGGGCAAGTGAAAAGGAAGGCTGTACGTTTAAAGCTATTATGGACAAAACTTGAGTTAAGGGGAGGGAAAGGAACTGTACAGGTTCCCCTCTTACTGGTCTCTGTTTGCTTCCTCTCAGCATCACATTCTTCCTCATCCTGGTTCTGGCCACACCCCATGCTTTAGGTTTTGTTTTGTTTTTCTTTAGAGACATGGTCTTGCCGTGTTGCCCAGGCTGGAATGCAGTAGCATGATCATAGCTGACTGCAGTCATCTTCTCCCGGTCTCAAGTCATCCTCTTGCCTCAGCCTCCCAAGTAGCTGGGACTACAGATATGAGCCTCCAAACCCAGCTAATGGATTTTTAAAGTGTATGAGAATCCTAGCCAACAAAGGTCTGGGAGATAGCTCTAGACAGCTCCTCCAGTCTTAGTGGTTTTTGTTGTTTTGTTGTTGTGTTGTTTGGGGTTTTTTTTTGTTTGTTTGTTTGTTTGTTTGTTTTTGGCTATTCAAGTTCTCTATAAAAACCCAATCTTTTACTTGTCTTCCATTGGTCTCTGCCTGATCCTGGAGGCTTATTATAGTCCCAGTATCCAGAACTGGTCTTGGGTTCGTCTCCCCATTCCATGCATCATCTTTTTCCCTCATCCCCACTCACTTTGTCTTAGGAAATATACTTGCTAGCTGTTCTGTATGCAGCTATCAAGAGGAACAAGAAATAAGACGACATAGTGGATGCTTAAAGATAACAGAATGACACACAAATGAAACAGAGAGATATAAAGGGCTGACTTACTTATCCTGGTCCATTCTGAGTATTGCTAACAGTCCTCGGTATATATTCTGTAAGTTGTTTTAGTTTTGCTTCTAGACCGTCATAGGCTACAAATATCATCTGTCTAGTTTCTTTTCTTTCTGAGACAGAAACTCTATCACCCTCGGTAGAGTACCATGGTGTTAAAAGCTCATAGCAACCTCAAACTCTTGGGGCTCAAGTGATCGTCTTACCTCAGCCTCCCTATAGGCGCCTGCCACAATGCCCAGCTATGTTTAGAGAGGGGGTTCTTGCTCTTACTCAGGCTGGTCTAGAACTCCTGAGCTCAGGCAGTCCGTCCATCTCAGCCTCCCAGAGTGCTAGGATTACAGACATGAGCCACCCCATCTGGCCCTTTTGGAGTTTGTGTTACCCCTTCTTCCCTCACAGCTTGCGAGGGGGAAAGGAGCTTGAAGCAAGAGCACTTCTAGAAAGTTTCCTTGCTGTTAACAGAAAGATACATGTAGGTGGGTTTTTTTTGTTTTTTTGGATGGCATAGGTCTAGATCTAACGTCACAGCTATCTTGCTACAACCCTGAGGATGAAACCAGAACTGGAGATGGCAGAACAGAGAGGTGGAAGCAAGCTGGATCCCTGGTGACATTACAGAGCCACTGTCCCTTTGTCCTAAGCTGACAGTCCACATCAGGTGAGAGTAGTTATGTTCTCTGAAGCCAAAAGCAGTCCATAAGAGGTTTGTGTTTTCTTTCTTCTCTATTGCTTGTCATGTGAGACAAACCTGGGTCTATTTATCTCACACTGTGCCAGAGAAAACATTCATCATCAGTGGTCCTGTTCTTTTTTTTTTCATATGTCTAAGTCATTTCCCAAATTATTTACAAAAGCAAGAATAAAGCGATAGTGAAAATAATTTTTTAAATGTTCCAATATTAGGCATTTTTAAGCATACAATATGGTTGAAAGAATTATACAGTGATCACCCGTACATCTACCACAGACATTTTATAATTTTTTTCTTTTTCTTCAGGTATAGGGAATTTGTTCATAGGGAGGCACCAAGTTTTGTGCCCCTCATCATAGTGACCCCAGATTCCTGTTGGGTGTGTTGTAAATAGAGGAGCCATTCTTCAGGCCCCTTGCTCCGAGCACACCCCTAGTGAAAAATAATTTTTAAATAAATCTTATTTTAAATACAGCAAGCCCAGTAATTTGGTCTGTATTTTCCTGCATTTGATGCCATATTTGCCTTAAATGGGCAATGTTCTTTGAATACAACTATTTATCAGTCAACAGAGATGAGCCAAGAACATGGTCATCTTGTAAATACTGAATACCAGATTTCAAATACATCTCTAATGGTTTAAGCTTATCGTTACTTTTGCTTCTTCTTACATTGAATAAACAGAAAGCAATGCTTTTGAAAACTTTGATGGCTTATTATTTTAAAGAAACGATAGCCATCGTCTTTGCTTCTTAGCTTCAAAACATTTTCATTTTTAGATTTATAACTACCTATTAGAATTAGTAATTCGATGAATTTTTTTCATCTCTGCTGCATACATTTCTGTCATTCACCACTGTATATGCATATTTGCCTTTATCATTCATTGATTTACAGGCTAAATGAAGTATTTTTGCAACATCAGAAGACAGAGTATATCACACAATCTGTTTAGGATGCCTCGGTTCTTGTTGCAAAATATT